TTATTTTTTATAATTTATGACGCCAGTGTTGATAAATTTTTGACATGTAGTTTGGATGTAGAAATTTACATAAAAATAGAATATAAGTTGATAATAATTAATTTATATGGCGTGGTTTGAAACGAGTAGAGGTATAATTTACAAGTCATTAAATAATAGTTTATTGTATACATTTATATATTTTTGTAAAAAACAGTAAGTGTAAACAGATCTTTTTGTACAAAATTACCGTCTATATTCCCTATTCATTAAATTAATTATTTAAGCGCATTAAAAAACCGTTTATACAGTGCGCTTTAAAAATTTATTACCGGTTAAAAAAATTCCCTTTGTCAATACAATAAATGTTAAATAAGAAAGATAAGAGTATAAATCAAGCCCAAATAAAAATTCACATAACTGTAAATATTTGGATTTTTCTAGTCAACCTTTTTATAGTTTGTCAATGTTTAACAATTTATTTGAGTAATACGATTGTTTTAAGGTGTCTTTGTATTTTACCCTGTTCTTTTTAACAAAAATCGCGTCAAAAAGTTAAGACTGGGTTCAAAATAAAGTATAAAATTAAAATATAAATAAATATTGTCGTAGCTGTTCAATCATCTTATAATTAAAGATGTAATCTTATTGGCCACTAAAAATATATAATAATTATTCACTAGAACGGGATAAAAAAAATAAAACCAATTACAACAAATGTGTTTTATTCTTCAAAGAATACTATTTTTTTGATTTTACATTTAGATTTTTTATTACTATAGAGGTTTCACAAAATTAATTTTGTCTTAAATTAAACATTAAAAAATCTATACTTTAATTATAAATAAAAACATGTGCTTTTATTATTGCAATTTGTATATATTAATTTTTTAGTATGATATTTTGAAATTTTAATCTTTGTAAAAAGTATACATTAAAAATATTATAAGGTTTTTTGTGAAAGTATTAGAATATTTAAAATATGAAAAAAAATTATTTATTAATCTTGTTTTTTTTTTTTATAACAGCAATCATACGTTTTTTAATTTCATTAATATACTGAAACAAATTCTCTGAAGGAGTACTAGCTCATGCTAATAGCATTGCAGAATGTAGTTCTTGAACATTATTGTACTGGTTACCGTCACTATATATTATTTTTAACACTTTTACCCAAAGATTATCAACAGTATTTTAATCCAAACTCAAGGAAAGTCAATACATGCATTTAATGTTCTTTTCTTTAAACTTGTGGTATTAATTCCACATGAAATGTTTTCTATTTTCTGAATTTTCTTGAAGAAATTTTACTATAAAAATATTTTATGAAAAGAAGGGCATCGCTGTCATGAATAACTCACATAATCATCAACAGCAAGAGAATCATAGGATCAACAGGATATCTCACAAGAGTACAATTTCCCATGAAGTTAATAAACCATTTAAGTTGCACTAATTTAGTTTGGTTTCAGGAGCGAGCATTGTGGAGAACTTTCTTAGTTCTGATCTCCTTCCTGCGTTTCTCGCCACAAAACTATATTTTGTTGAATAAACAACGTGACATAGAACACTGTCTTGGAAAAATAAAAGTATTATTATTAAAATTTATATTCGAATTTTTTATCTTCAATAACACTTTTAATGATATTTCAAATATTTTACAATATGATAAACTATTTGTTTTATTTCATATTACTTGAATTATTTATTGCTCAGTAAAACAAAAACCAGCTCAAACCATAACGCCATCACCACCCCGAACTCTTTTGTTGTAAGAGAGTTCTTCATAATTTATTGCTAATATTTTTTTAAACCATCAAACCCATCTAAATTAAACTTTCCTCATGTGAGAAAATAACTCTATGGCATTAATCTGTCAAAAAAACCTTGTCTAGGGCAAAACAAAACCTTTACAATTTATGAGATTCTGTTAATCGCAAGATTTGCTTTATTTCCTTAAAGACTATATTTTTTGTATTTTTTATTGCTCGCAATATTGTAAATTTAGAAACATTAAATCTAGATCAGATTTAATTTTATTTGCAAAATATGCTTTGTTGTGTCATTTTCTAAATTTTTGTTACGACTTTTAAAGATAATCTTTGTTTCTAATCTGTTTTTACAGTAAAAAAAAATTATCTTTAGATGTGAATAATCTCTGATTACGGTCCTACTTCTTCCAAATAAAATATTTATTTTACTGCAACTTTTAAATGATGTGTAATAAGCACCTATTAGTCCTTTTTCTTAGCAACCTGAAAACCTCCTCTGCTCATAAAGGCTAAAATTATTTTTTTTTAAGAAACTCTAAAAACATCCCCAATGTATACGTTTTACAGACATAAATATTATGATATATCGTACTAAAAATTAATACAGGCAAATTCTATCAATTTTAACAAATATTTTTATTTATAGTTTTAAGTATAGAATTATTTACGTTTAATTTAAAGCTAATTAATTTTTCTAAACTCTCTATAGAATTAAATCTTAATTAACCTATAATTGGGTTGACTCAAAAATCTAAATATATAAAGTTATGTAGATTTTTATTTGAGCTTGATTTATACTCTCTTTCTATTTCTGTGCATTTATTGTAATACAAAAATAGAATTTTGCCGGTACTAACGTTTTGACGCGGCTGTATATTGATGACACGATAAATAACAACGATGATGATGACGACGACGATGGTTTGTGTATTATCATTCATATTTTGTTCTGATACAACACTATACTTTTGGTTTAAATTTAAACAGTGTTTAAAAAATTTAAGAAACTAAATTTTCAATATGATGAAAGAATTGAACATTCAAAAAACAAAAACTTTGAGAAGCAACACTACAGCCAAAAGACTTACTGGCGCGTGAACGACAAAACTAATAAACGAGTTGCTTTAAATGTTATAGAAAATTGTTTTCAACATCTTATTTCAATTTGGTTAAATCTATTCAAAGTGCCTGTTTGTGGTATCCCACACAGTTAGGATTTATATTTTTTGTGTTTATTGTTTATACTCTTAATATAAATGTTTATTTTGTAATATACGTTAATTTTAACAATTAATTATGTTAGTAAGAAAACATTTAAAATTAAAGTCAAAAAAAACCTTCTCCTTTTACACACACACAGACAACAAACATAAAAACTATATGAAAATGAGAGATGAATTTAAGGAACAAAATACTATAAGACAAAAAAGTGATGATAAAAATTAAAATTTAATTTATGTAAAAAGCATAATAGAAATTTTTTACCAACATGGTCACGCTACTGCTATACAAGACATTTGCATTTAATATTTATACTTGTTTTATTTCTGATGTTTTAATGTGTTTAAGCACATTATAAATTGTGCTTTTCTTTTTATTACAGTATAGCTTAAAACAAGCCTTAGTGCATATATTAAATGGTACTCACTATATTTATAGATTATAATGCGCTAGATTAAACCTCTTCAACTGGCCTAGCAGTGTAAGTGGCGTGCTGCAAAGGAATCCGACTGGTCTTAAAGTAATACTCTAATGAGCTTAAGACTTTATCGTTGCCGTCTGTTCCTTGCAGGCTTTAAACATAACTCTTATTTTTAGTTAATAATTTATTAGATTTTTATTCATAGAAGGCATGGGTTAAAATTTAAAATTATTTTTATAGTAAAATTTTTAAATAAAATTAACGTGTGGTTGTAATACCACAGTAAGTTTACATCTCTATAGCAGGTTGCAAGCCTTTAATTCTTTAAAGTAAAATATTTTTTTCCTAAAACATAAGTAGTTTGCCTGTTCTTTAGTGTAATATTAGCATAAGAATTCCAAATCAATAAAAGTTTTACTTTAAGAAAGCTCTAATTTTGAATTCTCTTAGCATATTATTAAAAATTATTATTTGCAAGAATTAAATATCTTCAAATGCTTTTAAGTACAAATTGATATTTTCCTATGCAAACTTTATATAAAAAGTGTATTAATACAAATTATCATTCTTTAATAAAAAGTTTAAAAAGACATCCTACTTAAAATTTTATTGTAAGTATTCAGTTAAGTTAATATCACATGATTGATAATGTTTTTGGGTAGTCTGAACTATACAATCTATTTGTCTAATATTATATTCTTTCAAATAACGTAAGTCAAACGTAAAAAAAATAATTTTTTTTGTTGAATCAATCATTAATTTATATTCCAATACGTTATTCTTATTGTCATAAACAGAACATTTTAAATTTTTTTCATCAATATCTTCTTGAAAGTGCATTAAAACAGTCACCATTGAACAACCAAAAAGATATCTGGCACATTTATCATAATTAAAGAGCATAAATTTGTTGTTTGGATTCACAAGTAAATAAAATAAGTTAGCCAGATCTGAAAAAAAGCATCCAAATAAGTGAATATCTTTAAAAGTATTGAAATCCTTATTAGAGAGCACAAGTTCATCTTTCCAAAAATTATTTAAATTATTTTTAATAAAGTTTGTAAAGTACATAGGTAACTCACGTTTTAACAATTCATCATTTTCTTGTAATAACAGAATAAATTCATTTAGAAAACCAATAAGCTTACCATAATCTCTATCAAAAAATGCTAAAATGTAATCT